GATGTTCAAAAATGTTCATAAGTGACAAGCATGGTCAAATAATAATCAGGAATAAATCTCAGTTGGCTTTTCATAGCCGATCATTAAGAGTTGAAAACAGCAGGTCTGGGACAGGTAGGGGTTCCATAACCGCAGGCAGAACAGTTGAAACTGGAATAGCAGCAAGGCCAGGCGGACTGGGGACAGCAAGGAGTCACCACGGCCGGTAGTCCCGACGTATGGTCCTAGGGCTCAGGTCTCTCAGTTGGCTTTTCATAGCCGATCATTAAGAGTTGAAAACAGCAGGTCTGGGACAGGTAGGGGTTTCGTAACCGCAGGCAGAACAGTTGAAACTGGAATAGCAGCAAGGCCAGGCGGACTGGGGACAGCAAGGTGTCATCATGCCCGGTAGTCCTGACGTATGGTCCTAGGGCTCAGGTTCTCAGAGAGAAAGAGAGAACGAGAGAATTAGAGAGAGCATACTTAAATTCACACAGGACACTGGATAAGACAGGAGAAGTACTCCAGGTATAACCAACTAACCCCAGCCCCCCGACACATAAACTACTGCAGCATAAATACTGGAGGCTGAGACAGGAGCGGTCCGGAGACACTGTGGCCCCATCCGAAGAGGTGTATGTAAACTTCTGACTTCAACTGTATGTAGTTATCATGGAAATATGGTATTGGGTATAATGTAGACTCTGTATGAGTCCCAAATGGCACCCTATTCCCTATATGGTGCACTACTTTAGACCAGAGAATGGCACCCTATTCCCTATATAGTGCACTACCCTATAGGCCCTAGCCGGTCAAAAGTGTGTTCAAAACTTTATGAACACCTGCTCTTTCCATGACAGACTGACCAGGTGAAAGCTATGATCCCTTATTGATGTAACTTGTTAAATCCACTTCAATCAGTGTAGATGACGGGGAGGAGACAGGTTAAAGAAGGATTTTTAAGCCTTGAGGCAGTTGAGACATGGATTGTGTATGTGTGCCGTTCAGAGGGTGAATGGGAAAGACAAAACATTGAAGTGCCTTTGAACAGGGTTTGCCACTGGTTTGTGTCAAGAACTGCAACGCTGCTGGGTTTTTCACTCTCAACAATTTCTCGTGTATCAAGAATGTTCCACCACCCAAAGGACATCCAGCCAACTTGACACAGCAGTGGGAAGCATTGGAGTCAACATGGGCCAGCATCCCTGCGGAACGCTTTCGACACCTTGTCCACGCTCTGCCGAATTGAGACTGTTCTGAACTAAATATTAGGAAGGTGTTCTTAATGTTTTGCACACTCAATGTATAGGGAATACAGTGCCATTTGGGATTTGGCCTCTCTGTAAAGAGGGACCCACTATCACAATATGGATCAAATAGGTGAGATATTCTAATTCTACAAATAAGTGTTTAATAATAATAAGCCATTTTAGCAGACGCTTTAATCGAAAGCGGCTAACAGTCACGTGTGCATGCATTTTTACGTATGGGTGGTCCCGGGGATCGAACCCATTTCCCTGGCGTTACAAGCGCCGTGCTCTACCAGCTGAGCTACAGAGGACCACAGATGGCTGTAATATACTGCATGTGTTATAAGGAAACGACGTGTGTCTGGCCAGGGATGATGTAGTTGATGTTTGTATGATGTTGTCGTTTGTATGTGTATGTTTTGCATTGTTTATAAAATACATAATCAAATCTTACAACAACAAAAAACTGTAACAAAAAAAAGAAAAGAAAAAAAAGAAACGGGGTGTAATCTGTGCCATGTCCCGAAGGGGGCGCTATAGTCTAACTAATTATTCTAGTTTACCTAATAACTTGACAGCCTACCAAATCATTGGCAACATGCATAACATACGTTTTTTTTTTTTTTTTTTTTTTGTCATTTAGCAGACGCTCTTATCCAGAGCGACTTACAGGAGCAATTAGGGTTAAGTGCCTTGCTCAAGGGCACATCGACAGATTTTTCACCTGTTTATTATAGTCTATTAACTAACTAACAATAATATTTAGGGTATAAGTCGTTGCATATTCTATATTTTCATCCTTAGGCTACCTTAAGTGAAAGTTGTAACCTATCCTGTCCATAGGCCTACTTTCAAAAAAGATCAAGTGGAACAATAATTAAGACAATCATGTCAACATATATACGACCAATAAATGGCGTCATATGTTAACTACGTCAGATCAATAAATAAAATGGACATTGTTGATATTTTTGGCACGTGTCTTCCTCGGCGGCGCGCGTCACTAAAAACTAGCCTGCAGACCTCCAGCTATTGGCCCTCGTTCACATCTGAGACCGCCCCCGTAAAGCAATTGGTTGTTGGAGGGTTGTTCCGGTTTTAATTGGTCCTTAGTCATTGGAGAGGAGGGCAATATGATTTTATTCATTCTCTACGTAACAAGTTCGAATGTAATGATTAATTTAGGAAAGCAGCTATCATCACAAAAAAAACACACTTTAATATACTTTAATATACTGAAGAATCGTGCGTGGAGTCATTTCGTCTCTAGAGCTAAACCTCGCCGAGGACAAAACAACAAGACACGGATTTTAATTCCATTCAATCTTTTGGACAAGCTGCAGTAGGGGCGGGATAGCCTCCTGTCCAGCGGTGACCTAGCTACGTGGGAATTAACATCATCCAGAAAACCAAGCCCGCTAATTAAACTGCACCGTTTTTCATTTGGGACTTTTAAGTGTTGTTCGGACGGTGTAGGCTACCTACTGGATTACAGGAACCAGCCTAGATAAGGCTACTCGACATCTCTCCTTTAACTGCATCCGCCTGCTGTGTTGTTTGTGCATTGAATGAATCAGTTGAGGCTCAGTCGGAATCTGCAATGATTTGCGCGGACTGGAGAAAGACCCGAGTCGACCGTATCGAAGCCTAATAGGATGTACAGATAGAAAGGAGTTTGTTTGTGTGGAACCTGGACCCGCATGCTGCTGCTGTTCAGCCGTAGTCGTTTAGCCAGATCCAGATCAGGCTTACATTATATCCTTTATTATTGAGTTACCTGCACAGTCGGGTATTATGTTAGTTACCTGCACCGCTGGACCGAATGGAAATATGAATCAAACACAGTGAGGTGACGTCTCGGTCTTGGGGCCGTGGCAGCCCGTGCACGGACCAAGATCTGTGTTGTGAATGTGACATCCAGCTTCAGCGGGGTAAGTATTTCCTTTGCCTCCTACGTTCAAAGGGGAATAAAAATTGTTGTGCGTAAGTATATGTGTATAATGGTTCTGCTTCAGTCAATTCAATGATTAAGGCTATTTTTAATTCTGGAGAGTTTAAACTTGGACATCATGTTCATAGCCTATAAGTAGCCCATTGGTTATAATGGGTTATAATCGGTTATAACCTAGTTATAAGTAGGCTATAACCACATTGCTTTGCAGGGATTTATTTCGCATTCCCACTCGCTTTCAAAGGTCACATTGACTGATATCCCATTGATGCTTCTCAGCTGGAGGATAATGCTCAATGACAATAAAATCAGTCGTCTATGATCCGATGTCGTATGATCCAGTTAAATGATTATCGCGGTCAACGTGGGCTCACTTGTCCAAATGTCCAATAAGAACTCGCAGTGGGCTAATGACATGAGATGTGGCACAGCACAGAGCATTACAGCACCGACGCATGACATCATCAGGCTAGCTGGAAGGCTTCTTCCCTCCTATAGGTTCATTGATGTTTTCCCACTGTTGCCATATGCCACAATCATAACAACGCCATACTTTTTGTTATTATTGCAAGTGTTTCCGTTCATTCGACGACAAAATACTGCCTAGATATTGCTTTCCCGCCTGTAGGCTAATATATTGCATAACGGTCATGAATGGGGTCGTGGTCTGCTCTATCCGGTCCTGTGATGCAGTGACAGAAAGCGTCATCAACAATGTCGAGGCAGAGACACCTAGAGGGAATTGGGTCGTAGCCTAACATCTAAATGTTTTATTTTAATCTGGGTAATGTGAGATTTGTGCTATAGAGAAGAGATGAGTGCTGGCGCATAGGAGATGTGATGGTTGTTTTTAGTCGTCCCATGCAGACTAACTCAGTTATTATTTACACTATAAGATGTATCCCAGGCTGGCCGATGTTTTAAAGTGGTGTGCCGAGGATAGGATTTGTTTTAAAGATTGGAATCAGAAAGCAATCGGTTAAATAACTTACTGCCACCTGTTGGCTATGCTGTCAGTGGACTTTTTATTTTTCAATCAAATCAAATCAAATGTATTTATAAAGCCCTTTTTACATCAGCAGATGTCACAAAGTGCTTATACAGAAACCCAGCTTAAAACCCCAAAACATCAAGCAATGCAGATGTAGAAGCACGGTTGCTAGGAAAAACTCCCTAGAAAGGCAGGAACCTAGGAAGAAACCTAGAGAGGAACCAGGCTCTGAGGAGTGGCCAGTCCTCTTCTGGCTGTGCTGGGTGGAGATTATAAGAGTACATGGACATTATGGCCAGATCGTTCTTCAAGATGTTCACAGATGACCAGCAGGGTCAAATAATAATCAGTGGTTGTAGAGGGTGCAATAGGTCAGCACCAATATGGATGCATAGTCCCTGCCCCCCCCCCCCCCCCCCCCCCATCCCATAATAAAATAAATAAAATAATAATATCTGAAGATCTCATTTAGAAATGGATTGTCAGAAATGCTATCATGAAATATCAACCTTGTGCATGTGTTTATTCACATAGAAAAGACAGAACAAATAAGCTAATATTAATATTTTATAGGAAGGAATTATATTATATTATTTTCCCTAACCAGGGACCTACAGAATATAGACCTATGTTCTTTTTTAGGCTACATATGTATTCTATAAACAGCCTCACCTGCACGTATAATAAAGCATGTAGCCTTGTATGGATCATATTGTGATCATGTTCCCATGTCCCCTGTATTTATTTACACATCCGGGTGTCTCTCCACCTCAGCTGTAGCCCCACCTTATTGGCCACTGTAGCTGTCAGTCATATTCTGGGTCCGGCCCAGCAGTGACGTTTTTTCATCAGAAAGTAACCAGGCTTGACGAGGCTACCACGAACACAAAGACAACAACAAAGGCGAACGGAGGAAAGGAAATGTGCATGATAGCTTAGTGATCGCTGCTGCTGGACACCTGACATCACTACTCCTGGACCATTGCATAAACACACTAGAAAGAGGACAACCCGTCTCATGATATGAAAAACATTACCATCAAGCACACAAGTCAATATATGTCAAGATTCGCTCTGAGCAGATTCGCTTCAGGTGGTGAGTGTGAGTCATTGTTACAGACAGTATTTATGATGGGAGAGATAGCTATGTGTATTGTTAAAGTTGATTTAGACGTGTGGAGTTTTTTTTCCTTGTATGGTAGTAGTTATTATTGTTTTGGATTTGACAACCAGAACAAAGCATTGTTGTTGACCATAACGACAAGTCCATACATCATGCATTTGGTTGTATTAACACATTAATAACAAACACAACTAGATGTTGTTGAAATGAGAATGGTTTGTTGTATTATCGCTGTCTTTGGCGTCGTAAAACGTGTCTCCTGTTGCTGCATCCAATGTTTTGCCCATTGGTTTAGAGTTGTTGTGTTGATTTGGGAGTGAAACGATAGCTGTCCTTTGTTTGGTGCTCTTCTCCTTCTTCCTGTATTGGTTACCTAGACCATAGCTCCGTGGACGCGGAACTGCCTTCCTTTGTTGTGAAAAACACCTCGGATGCTGTGCGCTTCTCGGATGCTTTTCGACGTTTCGTCTCATAACTATTCAGCCATATTTTCCTATATGTAACTCGATGACGGCAACGCAAGCTAATTTAGCTAACGTTAAATTGTTGTGGGTTTATTTTCCATAATGTATAATAAAGCCTTTCCAGTTTGTGGGTATTGTCGATGCCTGATACTTGAAAGACATCCATGCTGGTTTGGTTGGCTATGAGACAGTCAGGCTCGAAGCGCCCATGGTCTTTCAGAGGGAGTGAGGATCCACGAAGCCAGACAAGGAAACCAAAAACATTAATGGGACCAGCCAGACCAACCTGGACTCAGGGGTAGACGTTACATAGTAAACGGAAATCCGACACATGCCGATGAGTGTGATATGTATTAATTTGTGGATGTCCATCATCCATTTCATATGATATGTTACGAATTATAATTCTTATGACATGTTACGAATTGTAATTCGTACAATATATTACACATTTGCTAAACATATATGTTGCGAATTCCTATTTGTTGTGGCTAACGTTAGCTAGGTGGCTAGCGTGAGCTAGGTTAGCGTTCAAGGTTAAAGTGTTATGGTTAGAGTTAGCTAACATGCTAAGTAGCTAAAACGTATTAAGTAGTTGCTAATGATCTAAAATGCTAAAGTTGTCCGTGATGAGATTCGAACACACAACCTTTGGGTTGCTAGTCATCCGTGTTATAGGCCCACCCAACCCCCCTATTGTCGTATTTGCCTTAAGTAACCTTCTGTCTTATGTAACCGTACCAAACGTAACAACCATACTATTATCAGTGTCCTGGCTTTACGTTTTCTATGTTACGTCTAGTTTATGAGACCAGGCTGGCCAGTCAGCCACATACACAATGGGTGTTTCTCAATGTGCATACTTTGGTGCCCCGCACTCATGCTCCGATGATTCTCCGACCACATTCTCTTGAGGTACGTTCTACGTTCTTGTGAAAAGCACTCGCACTCCCCCTACTGTATTACCAAAGATGTTTTACAACTAAACCAAGATAGACCACAGCCTAAATTGGAACAAATGAGTCATAGTGGGCAGAACAAGCAAGGAGGTGGGCAGAGCCAAGCAGGAGCTAGCGAGATCCTATTGGTGCTTTGTAGCATTTATTTGCATATATCCATTAGGGAACGCCTACTCTGAAGTGAGCAATAACTCAATTCGCACTCCTAAACAATGGCATTTTTTAAAACTTTGGGTAAAGTCTACAAAACCTAGTCCACTCTGTTCGTAAGAGATTGTAGTTTTGGGAACAGCAAACTGTATGGAGATTAAATGTTTAATCAACGAGAAAATTAGCAGAATGTCGGCCAAAATCCATCTTCTCCCACTGCCAGCCACTGGGCTTCCTCTCATTACCATATTTGGTAGTGAGTGGAAACACCAAGCGGACGCTTCTCAATTATACAGCCAGTGAAATATCTGTCTCATTGTTCTATCTGTATTATTACCTCATGCTTCACCTCCTCATTCACTGAACCTTCCTCCAAGATATACTCAAAGCAAACTTTTTATTTCATAATAATCAGCTACATTTTTACAGTTTAGTCATTTAGCAGACGCTCTTATCCAGAGTGACTTACTGAGTGCATACATTTTTCTTATTATTTTTTTGTTTTTGTTTCCATACTGGCCCCCCGTGGGAATCGAACCCACAACCCTGGCGTTGCAAGCGCCATGCTCTACCAATTGAGCTACACGGGACCTAGCTAGATATGTGAATCTTAATAATCTAGCTTACCAGGTAGTTAAACAGGCAAAAATGACCTAAAACTAATGTTATGCACGGGAACTACCAATTCTTGGTGGCTAGCTAGCTAGCTAGTTAGCCCTATTGACTTACTATGGATTTACCCATTAACTGAACCGTCTTTCAGCCAGGACAACAATGGCAATCGAGATGAAACAAGATATACACAAAGCAACAGTTTTACTTCATAACTCTCAACTAGCTATATGTGGATCGTAATAATGTAGCTAAACAGATAGTTTAACAGGCAAAAATGACCTAAAACGAATATTATGCAAGAGAGATGTCAATTCTTAGTGGGTTGTTTGCGAACAATTAGTTGTGGCTATCTGGCTAGCTAACAGTACTAGCAGCTAGCCAGTTAGCCCTATTGACTTAGTATGGGTTTGCGATCTACGTTACGTAGGCAGGTAAACATGCCAAAATTAACATTAACATAAATATTGCAGTCAGGCAACATATGAGATGTGAAAAGGCAACATTTCATTCCGAAAGTCTTGAGTGTATTTTCTCTCGCTTTAGCTCAAATAATGGCTGCCATTGATTTCAAGAAATGTTGCGTCATTTTTTTACATGCTTGCGTCATATTTCTTTGCATACTTTCCGTTGAAGCTTGCGTCGACGCATGCTTCAAAATATGTACAAACGGAGTATGCATTCGAGAAGTGCCCTCCGTTACTTTGATTTGGACTCAGACTCAGACACATTTGGTGCTCTGAGCACGGTAGTCTGCATTTTGACAAACACTGTGTGTGTACAAAAGTATGTGGACGCCCCTTCAAATTAGTGGATTCAGATATTTCAGCCACACCCCGTTGCTGACAGGTGTATAAAATCGAGCACACAGCCATGCAATCTCCATAGACACACATTGGTAGTACAATGAACTTACTGAAGAGCTCAGTGACTTTCAACGTGGCACGGTCATAGGATGCCACCTTTCCAACAAGTCAGTTCATCATATGTCTGCCCTGCTAGAGCTGCCCCCGGTCAACTGTAAGTGATGTTATTGTGAAGTGGAAATGTCTAGGAGCAACAACGGCTCAGCCGCGAAGTGGTAGGCCACACAAGCTCACAGAACGGGACCGCCGAGTGCTGAAGCGCGTAAAAATAATCTGTCCTCGTTTGCAACACTCACTACCGAGTTCCAAACTGCCTCAGGAAGCAACGTCAGCACAATAACTGTTCATCGGGATCTTCATGAAATGGGTTTCCATGGCCGAGCAGCCGCACACAAGCCTAATATCACCATGCGCAATGCCAAGCGTCGGCTGGAGTGGTGTAAAGCTCGCAGTGGAAACATGTTCTCTGGAGTGATAAATCACTCTTCACCATCTGGCAGTCCGACGGACTAATCTGGTTTTGGCGGATGCCAGGAGAACGCTACATGACCCAATTCATAGTGCCAACTGTAAAGTTTGGTGGAGAAGGAATAATGGTCTGGGGTTTTTCATGGTTTTGGGCTAGGCCCCTTAGTTCCAGTTAAGGAAACTCTTAACCCTACATTATACAATTCAATTCTAGACGATTCTGTGCTTCCAACTTTGCGGCAACAGTTTGGGGAAGGCCCTTTCCTGTTTCAACCCTTTTCTTATTCAGCATGACAATGCCCCTGTGAACAAAGGGAGATCCATACAGAGATGGTTTGTTGAGATCGGTGTGGAAGAACTGACCTGCACAGAGCCCTGACCTCAACTCCATCGAACGTCTTTGGGATGAATTGGAACGCCGATTACGAGCCAGACCTAATCAGCCAAAGTCAGTGCCCGACCTCACTAATGCTCATGTGGCTGAATGGAAGCAAGTCCCCGCAGCAATGTTCCAACATCTAGTGGAAAGCCTTCCCAGAAGAGTGGAGGTTGTTAAAGCAGCAAAGGGGGGGGACCAACTCCATATTAATACCCATGATTTTGGAATGAGATGCTTTACGAGCAGGTGTCCACATACTTTTAAAAAGAGACCCTTTAGTCGAACGCAGAACAATGCTAACTGTGTTACTAGACCATCGACTGTCAAACGTTAGATGTAGCTCCGTTCTTTGTAGAAGAAGAAGACCCCCTTGCCATGACGACGGATGGATGGGGTAGAGGTTAATGGCGCGATGACAACATACATGACCAAAAGGCTGAAATGGACAAATCCACTAATTTGAAGGAGGGGTGTCCACATAATTTTGTGTGTATACAGTGGGGGGGAAAAGTATTTAGTCAGCCACCAATTGTGCAAGTTCTCCCACTTAAAAAGATGAGAGAGGCCTGTAATTTTCATCATAGGTACACGTCAACTATGACAGACAAAATGAGGAAAGACAAATCCAGAAAATCACATTGTAGGATTTTTTATGAATTTATTTGCAAATTATGGTGGAAAATAAGTATTTGGTCACCTACAAACAAGCAAGATTTCTGGCTCTCACAGACCTGTAACTTCTTCTTTAAGAGGCTCCTCTGTCCTCCACTCGTTACCTGTATTAATGGCACCTGTTTGAACTTGTTATCAGTATAAAAGACACCTGTCCACAACCTCAAACAGTCACACTCCAAACTCCACTATGGCCAAGACCAAAGAGCTGTCAAAGGACACCAGAAACAAAATTGTAGACCTGCACCAGGCTGGGAAGATTGAATCTTCAATAGGTAAGCAGCTTGGTTTGAAGAAATCAACTGTGGGAGCAATTATTAGGAAATGGAAGACATACAAGACCACTGATAATCTCCCTCGATCTGGGGCTCCACGCAAGATCTCACCCCGTGGGGTCAAAATGATCACAAGAACGGTGAGCAGAAATCCCAGAACCACACGGGGGGACCTAGTGAATGACCTGCAGAGAGCTGGGACCAAAGTAACAAAGCCTACCATCAGTAACACACTACGCCGCCAGGGACTCAAATCCTGCAGTGCCAGACGTGTCCCCCTGCTTAAGCCAGTACATGTCCAGGCCCGTCTGAAGTTTGCTAGAGTGCATTTGGATGATCCAGAAGAGGATTGGGAGAATGTCATATGGTCAGATGAAACCAAAATATAACTTTTTGGTAAAAACTCAACTCGTCGTGTTTGGAGGACAAAGAATGCTGAGTTGCATCCAAAGAACACCATACCTACTGTGAAGCATGGGGGTGGAAACATCATGCTTTGGGGCTGTTTTTCTGCAAAGGGACCAGGATGACTGATCCGTGTAAAGGAAAGAATGAATGGGGCCATGTATCATGAGATTTTGAGTGAAAACCTCCTTCCATCAGCAAGGGCATTGAAGATGAAACGTGGCTGGGTCTTTCAGCATGACAATGATCCCAAACACACCGCCCGGGCAACGAAGGAGTGGCTTCGTAAGAAGCATTTCAAGGTCCTGGAGTGGCCTAGCCAGTCTCCAGATCTCAACCCCATAGAAAATCTTTGGAGGGAGTTGAAAGTCTGTGTTGCCCAGCGACAGCCCCAAAACATCACTGCTCTAGAGGAGATCTGCATGGAGGAATGGGCCAAAATACCAGCAACAGTGTGTGAAAACCTTGTGAAGACTTACAGAAAACGTTTGACCTGTGTCATTGCCAACAAAGGGTATATAACAAAGTATTGAGAAACTTTTGTTATTGACCAAATACTTATTTTCCACCATAATTTGCAAATAAATTCATAAAAAATCCTACAATGTGATTTTCTGGATTTTTCTTTCTCATTTTGTCTGTCATAGTTGACGTGTACCTATGATGAAAATTACAGGCCTCTCTCATCTTTTTAAGTGGGAGAACTTGCACAATTGGTGGCTGTCTAAATACTTTTTTTCCCCACTGTGTGTGTGTGTGTGTATATATATATATATATATATACATATGTATATGTATGTGTGTGTATATTCACGAGCGCTCCAATGTATAAATGTTTTGAAAGTTTAAAACAAGTAAAAGTTCATTAACATTTCATAAATGTATTCCTATATTGTTGTGTAACGCATGAACTACCAGTGATGAGTTAATATTGTGTAAAAATAGTTTATACCGGGTGATGCAATGCTAGGTTGGCTATTTTAGCTAGGCTAACATTAGCTAGCTAAGCTAGCACCAAAGCTAGCACAGTGTCTGGATCTTCCCAACTTTCTCAACTGCAGTTTCAGATGAGCAGCACTCAGTGAGTCAGTGCTCACCCTAGTGAAACAATCTCTAGTGCCCCTAATGAAACTGCAGAACGGGACCTACCTCTTGCATGTCAATATTAGACTGGGAAGAATTTACATGCGCGACCTCACCCTATCTGCAAGCATGACCAATGGCATAACACCTTATTGATATGTAGATTCAACCAACCAATAGGAATACATATTTCTGCAGTGTCAAGTGGAAACATAACCAATCCTCTTACACCTACACAAGATAATAATAATAATAATAATAATAATAATAATAATCAACAATATAATAATAGATGAATAACAATAAAAAAATAAATATAATCATAAAATAAATAATAATACAGAAATAATAATAAAACATATAAATAATATAAAAATAATAAAATAATAATAATAAATAAAATAATAAATAATCTAAAATATAATAAAATATAATAAAATAAAGATAATAAAATAAAATAAAAATAATAATAATAATCATACTAATAATAATAATAAAGAATATAATAATATAATAATAATATATAATAAATTATAATAATATAATAATATAATAATAAAATATATAATCATAATCATAATAATAATATAATACTATAATAATAATAATAATAAGAAGAAGAAGAAAAACATATAATAATGCTAATAATATAATAATAATAATATAATAATAATAATAATAAAAAAGAATAATATAAAATATTAAGATAAAAATATATATATAATATATAATACAATAATAATAATATACAAAATATATATATATAATTATAATACATATAATAATATAATAATAATAATATGCCATTTAGCAGACGCTTTTATCCAAAGCGACTTACAGTCATGTGCGCTTACATTTTTACGTATGGGTGGTCCCGGGGATCGAACCCACTACCCCGGCGTTACAAGCTCCGTGCTCTACCAGCTGAGCTACAGAGGACCACACGACGCGTCACAGTAGGTCTTCTTTGTTTATGAAGAGATAAAGATCTTAGTCTTTTTGTATCATTAAAACAGTTGCAGGGTCGCCCCAGGGTGACATTCCCTATTAAAACAGTAGCAAGGTCCAGTGTAGCTCAGTTGGTAGAGCATGGCGTTTGCAACACCAGGGTTGTGGGTTCGCTTCCCACGGGGGACCAGTATGAGAAAAAAAAATGATGCACTAACTGTAAGTCGCTCTGGATAAGAGCGTCTGCTAAATTACTAAAATCAAGGTCCCCCCAGGGTGAAATTCCCTAATAAAACACTTGCAGGCTGCTATATGGACACGCCTGGTGCCCAAATTGATGACGTATGTCGCGAAGCTGAGAATCGAGTGGAAATGAATGGATACTGTATACGCGCTCCGGTATCATTTGGGTGGTAGCAGATTGAACAGTCTATTGCTGGTCTATTCTCCCCCTCCCCTCCCCTGTCTTAATATTATTTCTCTCTTCCTCTCCAGGTGTAGTTTTCTCGTGGTTGCTGTGTGGAGCCTGCCGCCACACACCCAGTCCTCAACAACGACGGCTTTTGCTTGCATCTTCCAGTGCTTCTTCTGTCAGCAAGTTCAGCAGAGCTGCTCCTCGTCCACCTCTAGCCCGGACGCCGCAGCCAATCACAGCCCAGAGCCCCGCCCATGTGACATGGTGAAGATGACCAAGTCGAAGACGTTCCAGGCCTACCTGCCCTCCTGCCATCGCACCTACAGCTGCATACACTGTCGGGCGCACCTGGCCAACCACGATGAACTCATCTCTAAGGTAGGCACACCTGGCCAACCACGATGAACTCATCTCTAAGGTAGGCGCACCTGGCCAACCACGATGAACTCATCTCTAAGGTAGGCACACCTGGCCAACCACGATGAACTCATCTCTAAGGTAGGCACACCTGGCCAACCACGATCAACTCATCTCTAAGGTAGGCACACCTGGCCAACCACGATGAACTCATCTCTAAGGTAGGCACACCTGGCCAACCACGATCAACTCATCTCTAAGGTAGGCAACACCTAGACCAACCACGATGAATCAATCTCTAAGGTAGGCACACCTCAACTATCTCTAAGGTAGGCACCACTGGCCACCACGTGAACTCAGATTAAGGGAGGCACACCTGGCCAACCACGATCAACTCATCTCTAAGGTAGGCACACCTAGCCAACCACGATGAACTCATCTCTAAGGTGGCACACCTGGACAACCACGATGACTTGTCTCTAAGGTCTAGGTAGGCACACCTAGCCAACCACGATTAAATCGTCTGTAAGGTAGAACACCTGGCCAACCACGAGAACTCGTCTTAAGTAGGCACACCTGACAACCACGACAAACTCATCTCTAAGGAGAGGGGGGCTGGCAGTGCGCGCACGCACACACAACACACACACACACACACACACACACACACACAACACACAGAATCAATCAAGTTGTTTACTAGGGAACATGTCCAGAGCTCTAGTAGCTAGCCACCTAAGCTGATTACCCAGCGAGCCAAAGATAGTCAGTCTCTGAACTCCACCCATGTTGTCAACATCTATTAGCCTCCTTTATGGACGAGCTTTGCAGACTACCTACCTGCAGACTACCTACCTGCAGACTACCTACCTGCAGACTACCTACCTGCAGACTACCTACCTGCAGACTATCTACCTGCAGACTACCTACCTGCAGACTACCTACATGCAGACTACCTACATGCAGACTACCTACCTGCAGACTACCTACCTGCAGACTACCTACCTGCAGACTACCTACCTGCAGACTATCTACCTGCAGACTACCTACCTGCAGACTACCTACATGCAGACTACCTACATGCAGACTACCTACCTGCAGACTACCTACCTGCAGACTACCTACCTGCAGACTACCTACATGCAGACTACCTACAGTGCATTAGGAAAGTATTCACACCCCTTCCCTTTTTCAACATGTTGTTACGTTACAGCCTTATTCTAAAATGGATAAAATAAAAATATAATCAATCTACCCACAATACCCCATAATGACAAAGTTAAAACAGGTTTTTAGAAATGTTTGCCAATTGATTCAAAATAAAAAACAGAAACACCTTATTTACATAAGTATTCAGACCCTTTGCTACGAGACTCGAAATTGAGCTCAGGTGCATCCTGTTACCATTGATCATCCTTGAGATGTTTCTACAACTTGATTGGAGTCCACCTGTGGTAAATTCAATTGATTGGACATGATTTGGAAAGGCACACACATGTCTATTTAAGGTTCCACAGTTGACAGTGCATGTCAGAGCAAAAACCAAGCCATGAGGTCGAAGGAATTGTCCGTAGAGCTCAGAGACAGAATTGTGTCGAGGCACCGATCTGGGGAAGGTTATCAAAAAAATTTCCTCAGCATTGAAGGTCCCCAAGAACACAGTGGCCTCTATCATTCTTAAATTGAAGAAGTTTGGAACCACCAAGACTCTTCCTAGAGCTGGCCACATGGCCAAGATGAGCAATCAGGGAGAAGGGCCTTGGTCAGGGAGGTGACCAAGAACCCGATGGTCACTCTAACAGAGCTCCAGAGTTCCTCTGTGGAGATGGGAGAAACTTCCAGAAGGACAACCATCTCTGCAGCACTCCACCAATCAGGCCTTTATGGTAGAGTGGCCAGACGGAAGCCACTCCTCAGTAAAAGGCACATGACAGCCTGCTTGGAGTTTGTCAACAGGCACCTAAAGGACTCAGACCATGAGAAACAAGATTCTCTGGTCTGCTGAAACCAAGATTGAACTCTTTGGCCTGAATGCCAAGCATCACGTCTGGAGGAAACCTGGCACCATCCCTACGGTGAAGCATGGTGGTGGCACTATCATGCTGTGGGGATGTTTTTCAGCGGCAGGGACTGGGAGACTAGTCAAGATCGAGGGAAAGATGAACGGAGCAAAGTACAGATAGATCCTTGATGATAACCTGCTCCAGAGCACTCAGGACCTCGGTGAAGGTTCACCTTCCAACAGGACAACGACCCTAAGCACACAGCCAAGACAACGCAGGAGTGGCTTTGGGACAAGTCTCTGAATGTCATTGAGTGGCCCAGCCAGAGCCCGGACTTGAACCCGATCGAACATCTCTGGAGAGACCTGAAAATAGCTGTGCAGCGACGCTCCCCATCCAACCTGACAGAGCTTGAGAAGATCTGCAGAGAAGAATGGGAGAAACTCCCCAAATACAGGTGTGCCAAGATTGTAGTGTCATACCTAAGAAGACTCAAGGCTGTAATCGCTGCCAAAGGTGCTTCAACAAAGTACTGAGTAAATTGTCTGAATACTTGCGTATATGTGATTTATTTTTCTTTTTTGAATAAATTTGCTAAAATGTCTAAAAACCTGTTTTTGCTTTGTCATCATGGGGTATTGTGTGTAGATTGACGAGGGGGAAAAAAACAACTATCAATTTTAGAATCAGTCTGTAACGTAACAGAATGTGGAAACGGTCAAGGAGTCTGAATACTTTCCGAATGCACTGTATATCTACCGCAACCCTTTACAAACATAGAACGCAGCTTCAGTAACGTGTCGATAGCGACAATTGATCACGTTTCAGACAATTTAAAAAAAGTGCCGCATCAGGTCTGTACCTTTTTCATACAGTATAATTCTGCTCCAGCATAAAATGTTCTGCATGGTTTCCCTGACAACAGTAAACGTGGCCGATTTGATGTACTGCTGTGTTGTGTTTTATGGTAAGGTAGCTAGATGTGTTTTATGTCTACTAATTGTCTTGGTAAGTCACAGTATTTAACACATTTTAAAGTACTTTTTTTTAGGAGAGACTGGTCTGCGCGCAGGCAAGCAGGCTGCGCGCAGCAGCTCCAGATTATTTGATTGACAGTTCTGGTTACCTAGTGGACGGACTTTAGTCCTGCTTCAGAAGCAGCATTTACAGACAAGTAAAATGAGAAGGTTTCGTCTTGGCATAAAAAAAACAACGTAGTGTAGCCTAACAGACAAACATGCCGTAGCCGAGGCGCTTTCAAGGGGCCACATCGATACAGGCTAACGGTAGCCTACTGGAATTTCAAATGAGGCAAAAAGGAAGAGTAGGCTACCCCGTGCTTGCAAGACTGGCCCCGAAGACATCGGTGCCATGGAAAGGCTAGGATATTCTAGGGAAAAAAACAAAAATACTTTGTTTTTTCGGTTAGGGATTCGTCTTAATGTTAAGCATCCCAACTTCGTTTGACGTTTTAAACATTCACACCCTTAGTTTGGAGGAATTGGAACCATCGCTAACCTTGATTTGGATTTAGACTTCTACTTCAATGAGTCGGAGGCGATACCTGACGAGACTACGTCGGAGAGTGGATAAACCGCCTCCACCCTCCGTTCTATTGGCCAACGTGTAATCACTGGAGAATAAACTGGATGAGTTCCGTTCGAGACTATCCTATCAACGTGATCTGAAGAAGTGTAATATCAATCACTGGAGAATAAACTGGACGAGTTCCGTTCGAGACTATCCTACACACTTGATCTGAAGAACTGTCTATGTTTCTCAGAGTCGTGGCTGAACACGATCAATATAAATCTAGCTGGTTTTTCTATACATCGGCAGGACAGAACAGCAGCGTCAGAGAAGCTCAGGGGAGGGTGTGTGTGTGTCTCCTGCTCTCTGATATTAAGGAAGACTCAAGGTTCTGCTCGTCTGAGTTAAAATACCTCATGATAAGCTGTAGACCACACTATCTACCAAGAGTTTATCTATATTTTTCTTGGCTGTCTATTTACCACCACAAACTGATGCTGGCACTAAGAACACACTCAACAAGCTGTATAGGGCAATAAATCAAATCAAATGTTATTTGTCACATGCGCCGAATACAACCGGTGTAGACCTTACAGCCAAATGCTTACTTACAAGCCCTTAACCAACAATGCAATTTTAAGAAATTAAGAGTTAAGAAAATATTAACAAAATAAACTAAAGTTTAAAAAAAGTAACACAATAACGAGGCTATATACAGGGGATACTGGTACTGAGTCAATGTGCGGGGGTACAGGTTAGTCCAGGTAATAATGAGGCTATATACAGGGGGTACCGGTACCGAGTCAATGTGCGGGGGTACAGGTTAGTCCAGGTAATAATGAGGCTATATACAGGGGGTACCGGTACCGAGTCAATGTGCGGGGGTACAGGTTAGTCTAGGTAATAATGAGGCTATATAAAGGGGGTACCGGTACCGAGTCAATGTGCAGGGTACAGGTTAGTCTATGTAATAATGAGGCTATATACAGGGGGTACCGGTACCGAGTCAATGTGCGGGGGTACAGGTTAGTCTAGGTAATAATGAGGCTATATACAGGGGGTACCGGTACCGAGTCAATGTGCGGGGGTACAGGTTAGTCCAGGTAATAATGAGGCTATATACAGGGGGTACCGGTACCGAGTCAATGTGCGGGGGTACAGGTTAGTCTAGGTAATAATGAGGCTATATACAGGGGGTACCGGTACCGAGTCAATGTGCGGGGGTACAGGTTAGTCCAGGTAATAATGAGGCTATATACAGGGGGTACCGGTACCGAGTCAATGTGCGGGGGTACAGGTTAGTCTAGGTAATAATGAGGCTATATAAAGGGGGTACCGGTACCGAGTCAATGGGCTGGGGTACAGGTTAGTCTTGGTAATAATGAGGCTATATACAGGGGGTACCGGTACCGAGTCAATGGGCTGGGGTACAGGTTAGTCTAGGTAATAATGAGGCTATATACAGGGGGTACTGGTACTGAGTCAATGTATATAAGGTGTATGTAAACTTCCGACTTCAACTGTATGTACATTTATTTAGCAACGCTCACGCACACAACACGGGCGGTGTGGTCAGCATGTAGTGCCCTCCAAGCTCTTCACTAAGCTAAGGATCATGGGACTGAACACCTCCCTCTGCAAACTGGATCCTGGACTTTGACGGGCCGCCCCCAGGTGGTGAGAGTAGGCAACAACACATCCGCCACGCTGATCCTCAACACGGCGGCCCCTCAGGGGTGCATGCTTAGTTCCCTCCATTACTCCCTGTTCACCCACGACTTCATGGCTGCGCACGACTCCAACACCATCATTAAGTTTGCCGACGACATGACATGACAGTGGTAAGCCTGATCACCGACGACGATGAGACAGCCTATAGGGAGGAGGTCAGAGATCTGGCCGTGTGGTTCCAGGACAACAACCTCTCCCTCGACGATGAGACAGCCTATAGGGAGGCGGTCAGAGACCTGGCCGTGTGGTCCCAGGACAACAACCTCTCCCTCAACATGATCAGGACAAAGGAGCTGATCCTGGACTACAGGAAACGGAGGGCCGAGCACGCCCCCATCCAAATGGACGGGCTGTAGTGGAACAGAGAGAGCTTCAAGTTCCTCGGTGTCCACATCACTAAGGAATTGTCATGGTCCAAACACACCAACAAAGTCATGAAGAAGGCACGACAATGCCTCTTCCCCCTCAGGAGGCTGAAAAGATCAGATCCTCAAAAAGTTTGCAGCTGCACCATTGAGAGCATCTTGACTGGCTGCATCACCGCCTGGTATGGCAACTTCTTGGCATCTGACTGCAAGGCGTTACAGAGGGTAGTGTGTACGGCCCAGTACATCACTGGGGCCAAGCTTCCTGCCATCCAGGACCTCTGTACCAGGCAGTGGCAGAGGAAGGCCCTAAAAATTGTCAAAGACTCCAGCCGCCAAAGTCATAGACCGTTATCTCTGCTACCATATTACTGAGGGTACTATGGTGTTGAATGCTGAGCTATAGTCAATGAACAGCATTCTTACAAAGGTATTCCTCTTGTCCAGGTGAGATAGGGCAGTGTGATGGCGATTGCATCTTCTGTGGATCTATTGGGGCGTTAAGCAAATTGAAGTGGGTCTAGGGTGACAGGTAAGATAGAGGTGATATGATCCTTGACTAGTCTCTCAAAGCACTTCATGATGACAGAGGAGAGTGCTACAGGGCGATAGTCATTTGGTTCAGTTACTTTTGCTTTCTTGGGTACAGGAACAATGGTGGCCATCTTGAAGCATGTGGGGACAGCAGACTGGGAAAGGGAGAGATTGAATATGTCCATAAACACACCAGCCAGCTGGTCTGCGCATGCTCTGAGGACGCGGCTAGGGATGCCGTCTGGGGAGGCAGCCTTGCGGGGGTTAACATGCTTAAATGTCTTAATCACGTCGGCCACAGAGAAGGAGAGGCCACAGTCCTTGGTAGTGGGCCTTGTCAGTGGCACTGTGTTATCCTCAAAGCGGGTGAAGAAGGTGTTTAGCTTGTCTGGAAGTGAGACGTCGGTGTCGGCGACGTGGCTGGTTTTCCTTTTGTAGTCCGTGATTGTCTGTAGACCCTGCCACATACGTCTTGTGTCTGAGCCGTTGAATTGCGACTCCACTTTGTCTCTATACTGATGTTTTGCCAGTTTAATTGCCTTGCGGAGTGAGTAGCTACACTGTTTGTATTCTGCCATATTCCCAGTCACCTTGCCATGGTTGAATGCGGCGGTTCGTGCTTTCAATTTTGCGCGAATGCTGCCATCTGTCAACGGTTTCTGGTTAGGGTAGGTTTTAATAGTCACAGTGGGCACAACATCACCTATACACTTCCTGATAAACTCAGTCACCGCCGCCATCTTTGTCGGAGCCAGGTTGATTTACAGTAGACCCAGAAATAGACGAACTCTTTCTCCCTCTCCCTCCTGTCTGTTGGGTAAAGGTGTCTAACACTCTGCAGTGCTGACCCAGATCCCTCAGTCCAAGCTGAAAGGTCGTCCTCCCTTGTGTCCGCACACACACACACACACACACACACACACACACACACACACACACACACACACACACACACACACACACACACCTTACATAATCAGTCTGTCATATACAATGCACTCGCACCTCACAGAGGCATGCAGTGAGTATGCAGACACTTTTATGCATACATCAACCAGGTATAGGTGTTCAGTCTTTATGTTAATGCTGAGTGTTGGCCTGGAATGCTGGGTAAGCTGTGGCCCAGTCACATTACCTGTCCTTTATTTTTTTTTAAATGCACCTTTATTTAACCAGGTAAGCCAGTTGAGAAAAGTTCTCATTTACAACTGCGACCTGGCCAAGATAAAGCAAAGCAGTGCGATAAAAACAACAACACAGAGTTACATATGGGGTAAAAAAAACATAATGTCAAAAAATACAACAGAAAATATATATACAGTGTGTGCAAATGTAGCAAGTTATGGAGGTAAGGCAATAAATAGGCTATAGTGCAAAATAATTACAATTAGTATTAACACTGGAATGATAGATGTGCAAAAGATGATGTGCAAATAGAGATACTGGGGTGCAAATGAGCAAAATAAATAACAATATGGAGATGAGGTAGTTGGGTGGGCTAATTACAGATGGGCTGTGTACAGGTGCAGTGATCGGTAAGGTGCTCTGACAACTGATGCTTAAAGTTAGTGAGGGAGATAAGAGTCTCCAGCTTCAGAGATTTTTGCAGTTCATTCCAGTTATTGGCAGCAGAGAACTGGAAGGAATGGCGGCCAAAGGTGTTGGCTTTGGGGATGACCAGTGAGATATACCGGCTGGAGCGCAGACTACGTGTGGGTGTTGCTATGGTGACAAATGATCTAAGATAAGGCAGGGATTTGCCTAGAAGTGATTTATAGATGACCTGGAGCCAGTGGGTTTGGCGACGAATATGTAGTGAGGGCCAGCCAACAAGAGCGTACAGGTCACAATGGTGGGTAGTATATGGGGCTTTGGTGACAAAACGGATGGCACTGTGATAGACTACATCCAATTTGCTGAGTAGAGTGTTGGAGGCTATTTTGTAAATGACATCGCCAAAGTCAAGGATCGGTAGGATAGTCAGTTTTACGAGGGCATGTTTGGCAGCATGAGTGAAGGAGGCTTTGTTGCGAAATAGGAAGCCGATTCTAGATCTAACTTTTATAATAATATAATATGCCATTTAGCAGACGCTTTTATCCAAAGCGACTTACAGTCATGTGTGCATACATTTTTACGTATGGGTGGTCCCGGGGATCGAACCCACTACCCTGTTGTTTTTATCGCACTGCTTTGCTTTATCTTGGCCAGGTCGCAGTTGTAAATGAGAACTTGTTCTCAACTGGCTTACCTGGTTAAATAAAGGTGAAATAAAATAATAAAAAAGTCTGTCTCTCTGTCTCTCTGTCTGTCTGCCTGTCTGTCTGTCTGAATGAATGCGTGCACCGCGCTACTTTTCTGAGGTTCCTTCATGTGATCTAACGTTTCCTTCTTTTCTCTGTTCCAGTCATTCCAAGGCAGCCAGGGGAGAGCCTACCTCTTTAACTCTGTGTAAGTATTAAACGCCCCTCTTTAACTCTGTGTAAGTATTAAACGCCCCTCTTTAACTCTGTGTAAGTATTAAAAGCCTACCTCTTTAACTCTGTGTAAGTATTAAACGCCCCTCTTTAACTCTGTGTAAGTATTAAACGCCCCTCTTTAACTCTGTGTAAGTATTAAACGCCCCTCTTTAACTCTGTGTAAGTATTAAACGCCCCTCTTTAACTCTGTGTAAGTATTAAAAGCCTCTCTTTAACTCTGTGTAAATATTAAAACCACTTGTCTATATTGGTCCAAGCTGCAACAATTTCTGATATCAAAACTACAGTGCCTTGCAAAAGTATTCATCCCCCTTGGCGTTTTTCCTATTTTGTTGCATTACAACCTGTAATTTAAATGGATTTTTATTTGGATTTCATGTAATGGACATACACAAAATAGTCAAAATTGGTGAAGTGAAATGAAAAAAATAAATAACAGAAAAGTGGTGCGTGCATATGTATTCACCCCCTTTGCTATGAAGCCCCGAAATAAGATCTGGTGCAACCAATTACCTTCAGAAGTCACATAATTAGTTAAATAAAGTCCACCTGTGTGCAATCTATGTGTCACATGATCTCAGTATATATACACCTGTTCTGAAAGGCCCCAGAGTCTGCAACACCACTAAGCAAGGGGCACCACCAAGCAAGCGGCACCATGAAGACCAAGGAGCTCTCCAAACAGGTCAGGGACAAAGTTGTGGAGAAGTACAGATCAGGGTTGGGTTCTAAAAATATATCAGAAACTTTCAACATCCCACGGAGCACCAATAAATCCATTATTAAAAAATGGAAAGAATATGGCACCACAACAAACCTGCCAAGAGAGGGCCGCCCACCAAAACTCACGGACCAGGCAAGGAGGGCATTAATCAGAGAGGCAACAAAGAGACCAAAGATAACCCTGAAGGAGCTGCAAAGCTCCACAGCGGAGATTTGAGTATCTGTCCATAGGTCCACGTTAAGCCGTACACTCCACAGAGCTGGGCTTTACGGAAGAGTGGCCAGAAAAAAGCCAACACGTTTGGTGTTCGCCAAAAGGCATGTGGGAGACTCCCCAAAAATATGGAAGAAGGTAGTCTGGTCAGATGAGACTAAAATTTAGCTTTTTGGCCATCAAGGAAAACGCTATGTCTGGTGCAAACCCAACACCTCTCATCACCCCCGAGAACACCATCCCCACAGTGAAGCGTGGTGGTGGCAGCATCATGCTGTGGGGGTGTTTTTCATCGGCAGGGACTGGGAAACTGGTCAGAATTGAAGGAATGATGGATGGCGCTAAATACAGGGAAATTCTTGAGGGAAACCTGTTTCAGTCTTCCAGAGATTTGAGGCTGGGATGGAGGTTCACCTTCCAGCAGGACAATGACCCTAAGCATACTGCTAAAGCAACACTTGACTGGTTTAAAGGGGAAACATTTAAATGTCTTGGAATGGCCTAGACAAAGCCCAGACCTCAATCCAATTGAGAATCTGTGGTATGACTTAAAGATTGCTGTACACCAGCGGAACCCATCCAACTTGAATGAGCTGGAGCAGTTTTGCCTTGAAGAATGGGCAAAAATCCCAGTGGCTAGATGTGCCAAGCTTATAGAGACATACTCCAAGAGACTTGCAGCTGTAATTGCTGCAAAAGGTGGCTCTACAAAGGGGGGTGAATAGTTATGCACGCTCAAGGTTTCTGTTTTTGTCTTATTTCTTGTTTGTTTCAAACAAAAAAAGATTTAGCATCTTCAAAGTGGTAGGCATGTTGTGTAAATCAAATGATACAAACCCTCCAAAAATCCTTTTTAATTTCAGGTTGTAAGGCAACAAAATAGGAAAAATGCCAAGGCGGGTGAATACTTCCGCAAGCCACTGTATCTCTAACATCCTTAACCAAACACCCAACCTTATGCCTAAACCTAACCTTAAATAGAGCTAATTTCTCTCTCTCTCTCCCTCCCTCAGTGTGAACGTGGGCTGTGGGCCAGCCGAGGAGCGGGTTCTCCTAACAGGTTTACATGCCGTCGCTGACATCTACTGTGAAAACTGTAAAACCACTCTGGGCTGGAAATACGTATGTCACCTACCTACCTACTGCACCTACCGCTCAAACAAAATGGCACCTACCTACCTAATACACCCACCGCTCAAACAAAATGGCACCTACCTACCTAATACACCTACCGCTCAAACAAAATGGCACCTACCTACCTAATACACCCACCGCTCAAACAAAATGGCACCTACCTACCTAATACACCTACCGCTCAAACAAAATGGCACCTACCTACCTAATACACCTACCGCTCAAACAAAATGGCACCTACCTACCTAATACACCCACCGCTCAAACAAAATGGCACCTACCTACCTAATACACCCACCGCTCAAACAAAATGGCACCTACCTACCTAATACACCTACTGCTCAAACAAAATGGCACCTACCTACCTACTACACCTACCGCTCAAACAAAATGGCACCTACCTACCTACTACACCTACCGCTCAAACAAAATGGCACCTACCTACCTACTACACCTACCGCTCAAACAAAATGGCACCTACCTACCTACTACACCTACCGCTCAAACAAAATGGCACCTACCTACCTAATACACCTACCGCTCAAACAAAATGGCACCTACCTACCTACTGCACTTACCGCTCAAACAAAATGGCACCTACCTACCTACTACACTTACCGCTCAAACAAAATGGCATCTACCTACCTACTACACCTACCGCTCAAACAAAATGGCACCTACCTACCTACCTACTGCACTTACCGCTCAAACAAAATGGCACCTACCTACCTACTACACCTACCGCTCAAATAAAATGGCACCTACCTACCTACTACACCTACCGCTCAAACAAAAGGGCACCTACCTACCTACTACACCTACCGCTCAAACAAAATGTCACCTACCTACCTACTACACCTACCGCTCAAACAAAATGGCACCTACCTACCTAATACACCTACCGCTCAAACAAAATGGCACCTACCTACCTACTGCACTTACCGCTCAAACAAAATGGCACCTACCTACCTACTACACCTACCGCTCAAACAAAATGGCACCTACCTACCTACCTACTGCACTTACCGCTCAAACAAAATGGCACCTACCTACCTACTACACCTACCGCTCAAACAAAATGGCACCTACCTACCTAATACACCTACCGCTCAAACAAAATGGCACCTACCTACCTAATACACCTACCGCTCAAACAAAATGGCACCTACCTACCTACCTACTACAAGGCAGGCTCACACTTAACCTTTAATGGCAGTTAAAAATAAGTCACAGCTTAAATCAACCCAACCCACAAGTCTACAGCAATCAACATACAGCACTAGACGTTGTCTCACTGTTGTCACATTCTTAACGCCCGGCACCACACCCTAATATGGATTTGTTTTTCTCTTAATCATATCACAATCAACTTTTTACCAGTTGAATGTAAACACAAATAATACTTTTTTTGTATTACAATATTTCTGAAATATTTTATTAAAACATGAAAATGAGGCGATATCTCATTAAATGAATGCATATTTGCATACGACGCAATTAATTTTTCTGGACACTGAATGAAGTCAGCCTGAATAAATAAAATAAAATATTCATTTTGTTAGACACTTTTCATCTTTCTATCTGTAAAATACTAAAGATGTATGTAAAAATGCATTTTTCCAAATAAAATGTTATCTAGAATAAAAAATTTACAACAAATCAACAATCCCCTCTTGGCAAGTCTGGAGAATATACACTGAACAAAAATATAAACGCAACATGCAACAATTTCAAAGATTTTACTGAGTTACAGTTCATTTAAGGAAATCAGTCAATTGAAATAAATTCATTAGGCCCTAATCTATGGATTTCACATGACTAGGAATACAGATATGCATCTGTTGGTCACAGATACAATGCATACGGAAAGTACCTTATTTACATAAGTATTCAGATGCTTTGCTATGAGACTCGAAATTGAGCTCAGGTGCATCCTGTTTCCATTGATCATCCTTGAGATGTTTCTACAACTTGATTGGAGTCCACCTGTGGTAAATTCAATTGATTGGACATGATATAAAAGGCACACACCAGTCTTTATAAGGTCCCACAGTTGACAGTGCATGTCAGAGCAAAAACATTTTAACATTTAACATTTTAGTCATTTAGTGAGTGCATATATTTTCATACTGGCCCCCCGTGGGAAATGAACCCACAACCCTGGCGTTGCAAGCGCCATGCTCTACCAACTGAGCTACAGGGGACAAAAAAAAAAACAAGCCATGAGGTCGAAGGAATTGCCCATAGAGCTCAGAGACAGGATTGTGTTGAGGCACAGATCTGGGGAAGGGTACCAAAACATTTCTGCAGCATTGAAGGTCCTCAAGAACAAAGTGGCCTCCATCATTCTTAAATGGAAGAAGTTTGGAACCACCAAGACTCTTCCTAGAGCTGGCCGCCCAGCCAAACTGAGCAATCGGGGAGAAGGGCCTTGGTCAGGGAGGTGACCAAGAACCCGATGGTCACTCTGACAGAGCTCCAGAGTTCCTCTGTGGAGATGAGAGAACCTTCCAGAAGGACAACCATCTCTGCAGCACTCCACCAATCAGGCCTTTAGGGTAGAGTGGCCAGATGGAAGCCACTTCTCAGTAAAAGGCACATGACAGCCCGCTTGGAGTTTTCCAAAAAGCACCTAAAGGACTCTGACCATGAGAAACAAGAGTCTCCGGTCTAATGAAACCAAGATTGAACTCTTTGGCCTGAATGCCAAGCATCACATCTGGAGGAAACCTGGCACCATCACTAAGGTGAAGCATGGTGGTGGCAGCATCATGCTCTGGGGATGTTTTTCAGCGGCAGGGACTAGGAGACTAGTCAGGATCGAGGGAAAGATGAACGGAGCAAAGTACAGAGAGATCCTTGATGAAAACCTGCTCCAGCGCGCTCAGGACCTCAGACTGACGCGAAGGTTCACCTTCCAACAGGACAACGGCCCTAAGCACACAGCCAAGACAATGCAGGAGTGGCTTCGGGACAAGTCTGAATGTCCTTAAGTGGCCCAGCCAGAGCCCGGACTTTAACCCGATCACGCATTTTTGTGTTCGTTGTCCATAGCTTATGCCTGCCCATACCATAACCCCACAGGCCACCATGGGGCACTCTGTTCACAATGTTGACATCAGCAAACTGCTCGCCCACACGACGCCATGTCTGCTATCTGCACGGTACAGTTGAAACCAGAATTAATCTGAGAAGAGCACGATTCTCCAGTGTGCCAGCGGCCATCGAAGGTGAGCATTTGCCCACTGATGTCGGTTACGACACCAAACTGCAGTCAGATCAAGCAGATGAGCTTCCCTGAGACGGTTTCTGAGAGTTTGTGCAGAAATTCTTCGGTTGTGAAAACCCACAGTTTCATCAGCTGTCCGGGTGGCTGGTCGCAGGTGAAGAAGCCAGATATGGAGGTCCTGGGTTATACGTGGTCTGCGGTTGTGAGGCCGGTTGGATGTACTGCCAAATTCTCTAAAATGACGTTGGAAGCGACTTGAATGAACATTCAATTCTCTGGCAACAGCTCTGGTAAACATTCCTGCAGTCGGCATGCCAATTGCAGGCTCCCTCAAAACTTGAGACATCTGTGGCATCGTGTTGTGTGACAAAAACTTCACATTTTAGAATGGCCTTTTATTGTCCCCAGCACAAGGTGCACCTGTGTAATAATCATGCGGTTTAATCAGCTTCTTGATATGCAACACCTGTCAGGTGGATGGATTATCTTGGCAAAGGAGAAACGCTCACGGACAGGGATGTAAACACATTTGTGCACAACATTTGAGAGAAATAAGCTTTTTGTGCGAATGGAAAATTTCGGGGATCTTTTTTATTTCAGCTCATGAAACATGGGCCCAACACTTTACATGTTGCGTTTATATTTTGTGTTCAGTATATCTAAGGATAAAACTACATTTGGTAAATGAACTTCTGAAGCTGAGGAAAATGAGTTGGCGTGTGGAGAGAGTCTGACTTTCGGCCGTTAAAGACGAGACTGAATTAAGATTCCAAAAGCCAATTTAGACCCAATCACCATTCCAATGTAGTCCAGTTTGTAACATTCTCTATGAAATGGGCTTTGAACTTATGTGTACTTTAATGTTACTGAGCTTTGAAATGATTGATGTATGTCCATTTTAAAGTGGTTAAAATTCATATAAATGTTGATGACGGTCGTGATAAACTAAAGAAAATATACATTTTCATTAAGTTTGACTTTTGTATGTCAACTTTTTGAAAATAGTAATTAAAATGGACCAAAATACCAACAAATCAAAACATTTATGCAAAAATGTCATTTCAGCTTGTGGTGCCTGGCCTTAAGGTCACAGGAAATCTTCAGTTGAAATTGTTGATTGTTTAGTTGAAAGCATCAGCAGAACGGTATGACCTGGTTAGCAATAATACATTCTAAAGCCCTGCATGGTGACGTCAGACTAATGTTTTGTTGTTGTTGTTGTTGTTGTTGACTAACAGAATGTTGTGTTGCAGGAGCATGCGTTTGAGAGCAGCCAGAAGTACAAGGAGGGGAAGTTCATCATCGAGCTGGCTCACATGATCAAGGACAACGGCTGGGAGTGACATCCGGCCCTTTAATGACCTCTGACCTATCAGAGCTCTGGATCTATCAGACTTCACAGAGCGACAACCAATCACCGTCAACCACCCACCGTGCCGCCCCCTCCTAACACACACACACAGTCCCTGCTGGTTGTGAAACTGAACATGATGCTGTTGAACTGGAGAGAGGAGCAGACTATTGGGTTGGGCTTTTTCTTTTTTCTTCTTTTCTTTTGTAGTAATTTAGCGACTTAGTTAGTGAGTGCATACATTTTTTTCACACTGGCCCCCCGTGGGAATCGAACCCACAACCCTGGCATTGCAAGCGCCATGCTCTACCAACTGAGCTACACGGGGCCCTTCAGTGAAGACCATCTGATCTCACCAGCCAATGACGGACAGCTGGACTTGAATTGACTCCTCCCTCCTCAACCAGGCCCCACCCACCTCACTGGCGTTGGCGCTTAGTTACACGGCTGCCATGGCGATGTGAGAGAGAGAGAGAGAGGGGATAACATTCTACTAACCTCTTCCTCCTCTTGACCCGGGGAACAGGAGGAAGAGGAAGTGGAGGAGTTGAGTTGTTGGGGTGTTGCGGGGGGGGGGGGGGGGAACAGTGGGGGGTTCGGGGGGGGACGGGGTCGCACAGTGGGTGGGTAATTTTGTTCCCTCCTTGTGTTTTAATCTTTGATTCGTGATGTTTTATTTGTCGATATCTTTTTCAGTCTTTGTTGTTTAATGATGACTTCAGTGTGGGACGTCCCGGTAACACCACAAACGCACCCCGAGCAGAGCAGCAGGGATAGACGATATTATATATATATAGATAGATGTGATTTATCCAACAGCATTGTGGCTGGCTCCATATAGCAGCAGTATTATATCTGTAGTGTTTTATCCAACAGCATTGTGGCTGGCTCCATATAGCAGCAGTACTATCAGAGAAGGTTTGACAGAGGGAGGAGATAGAGGAGGGAGAACTATGGCTGCCTTCCAAATGGTACTCTATGCCTGGGTGCACGACCATATTGGACCCTGGTCTAAAGTAGTGCACTGTGGTGGGAATAGGGTGCCGTTTGGAACGCAGATTAGAACAGGCTGGACAGGAGAGGAAGGTCCGGTTCACATCAACCACAGAACACACCCACGCATCATCTTGTGTTACAACCTGAACTAAACCATATTACACGTATAGATTCTATTTATAGATATGTGATATACATTTGTATGGACATTTATTATCATGCCTGCATATATATATATATATAGGTAACCACCAAAATAAAGGAAACACCAACATAAAGTGTCTTAACAGGGCGTTGGGCCACCACCAGCCAGAACAGCTTCAATGCACCTCGGCATAGATTCTAGAAGCGTCTGGAACTCTATTGGATGGATGCGACACCGTTCTTCCACCAGAAATTCCATCATTTGCCGTTTTGTTGATGGTGGGGGGGGGGAAATTGCCGTCTCAGGTGCTGCTATTCAATTGGGTTGCGATCTGGTGACTGAGACGGCCATGGCATGTGGTTTAAATTGTTTTCATGCTCATCAAACCATTCAGTGACCGCTCGTGCCCTGTGGATGGGGGCATCGTCATCCTATGGGGGGCATAGCCATGGTAGCCAAAATAATGGCCTGCCCTGCATTTTTATACATGACCCTGATCATGATGGGATGTTAATTGCTTAATTGAAACACCTGTGTGGAAGCACCTGCTTTCTATCCTTCATTTACTCCAGTGTTTCCAATATTCTGGCAGTTACCTGTACATATACTGTATAATGTATTTTATGTATATAAGCAGCATGTCTACTAGTGTGTTGCCCACCTTTACACAGTGGCAGTGCAGTTACTTTGTTTGCATTTTGCAGAGGCCTTTGGTTCATAGGTTTAGAGGCAAAAGTCTGTCTGTCTATCTGTCTGCCTCTTTTAAGGCCTTTCCGCCTATGATTGAAAGATTGTATGAGATGCTGAATGATATTGAGGGTTGCTGGCTAGATCTTCTCCCTACAGTTATTAGATCAATGAAATATCGCTGCTTTACTTGTTCCTACGCTTGCCCAATCGGTGATCCTACCTAAATCAAGGGTCTCCATCCGATTCACTTTAAATCTAAAGATCCTTGTCACTTTGAACATCATTGGCATGAACAATGTTCATTTTCCACAGAAAACTAAATAAACATGTTCATTGCAATTCTTTGCTGCTATTAGAGAAATGCAATCCTTCAACCTTTCCCTTCGTTCTGGAGATCTTTTTTTTGCACTTTATGCCTGGCGCTGTCTGAGACAATCTGAACGGTTGCTACGGTAGTTTATCTCTCAACTGTTCTCCTCCTCCTCGTTAGTTTGCCTCTAAAGCTGAATGAATCTTGTGCCTCTTCAAAAAAAGATCCTCCTTCTCTTTTCGCCTGACTTCTCCTGTGTTGTGCCGTGCATAACTCTAGACTATGAGTCCCCCAAACGCTATAATCTTGACGTGTGTCGTAGCAGGTTGGGGGGTATTTTAGAATCAGCTGTGATTGCTCACATCGTTATTAACGTGTAAGACAAAAGACAATGCAAACCTGACAGAGTTGGATAGTTAGAATATATAAAAACCAGTACAGTACAGACCTGTTACACTCTGTACATAGAGTAGCAGGACAGTACAGACCTGTTACTGTTTATTTCTCCCTCTCTAACAGCGATCTGGGGGCTTGACGGCCAGCTGGTCTTTTTCTCCCAGCGATCTGGGGGCTTGACGGCCAGCTGGTCTTTTTCCTCCCAGCGATCTGGGGGCTTGACGGCCAGCTGGTATTTTTCTCCCCAGCGATCTGGGGGCTTGACGCCACTGGTCTTTTCTCCCAGCGTCTGGGGGCTTGACGGCCCTGGTCTTTTTCTCCCAGCGATCTGGGGGGCTTGGACGGCCAGCTGGTCGTTTTCTCCCAGCGATCTGGGGGCTTGACGGCCAGTTTGGTCTTTTTCTCCCAGCGATCTGGGGGCTTGACGGCCAGCTGGTCTTTTTCTCCCAGCGATCTGGGGGCTTGACGGCCAGCTGGTCTTTTTCTCCCAGCGATCTGGGGGCTTGACGGCCAGCTGGTCTTTTTCTCCCAGCGATATGGGGGCTTGACGGCCAGCTGAAGAGTTTCTTTAGAAACCTTATTATTTTGCTCTGTGTGTGTTTAGGTCCCACGGGGTAAAAGGGCCCTGGTTTGGCCTCTGGGGGCTTAATTGCTGAGCTCTGTAGACTGTAGAAGGATAGGGGGAGCTGGATTCTCCCTCCAACTACGGAACAGAAGAGCGTTGACCAAGACTCTTTCCAACAATCAATCTCCCCTGTGTACACTCTCTCTCCTCTCCCTCGCTCTCTTTAATCCAACTAGCACACAGGAAAACAGTCACCAGTGTCACCGTCAGTTTATACCAAATATAACGTTGTTACCAGATTCTAGAGAACTGGTGTCACAGCTAAAGCTAAAAGCCAATCAGACAGGTGTCATGGATGCTGTTTGTTAGCACTTCGGACTCCTGGAGATTCAAACCGCTCATACAAAACCAAAACCAATCCAGGACCTGTCAGGTGTGAGGCCTCAGTAGTTCTCTAGAAGGTTCTGAATCATTCTGTAGAAGGTTCTGAAATTGTTCTGTATTCTGGAACTTCTTTCAAAAAATGTCAAAGGCAGTCATTTGCTGCTAAAGATGATTGTTTATTTACCCTGATATTGTGGTTTTGATGACACTGGCTCCGACTTCTGACGTTGTTTTAGGTCTGTAGGAGATATTATCACAGGCGGGGTCCCAAATGGCACCCTAATCCCTACATAGTGCACTACTAATAAAGTAGTATAGGGAATAGGGTGCCATTTGGAACGATAAGATAAGTATTGGAGATGTTATTATCCCAGAGAAGAGATGATTAGACTATATGATAGGTATACAAAAGGAAAAGATTGTAACGTTTGAAAATGAGTTGGGGCTGTTAAAATAGGTCTAAAGCTTGTTGTATTTGTAATGGCTGTATTAAGTCGTGCCTGGTTCTCATTTTCTTTCTTCAAAACATGATATATGCTTTTTTTATTTTTACTTGACTACATTTCTTTGCATTCTGTCTGTTTGTTTCACTGTATTGTAAACTATCAGATATCACAATAAACTTTAAATGGCATTCGACTGGGGATTGTGTGTCTTTCATAACTCATTCAACAGCTACATGAGAACGGTGAGTAGGCCACACTGTAACGGAAAACGGTCATTAATGAGAACGGTGAGTAGGCCACACTGTAACGGAAAACTCATTTATACAGTTATTTTGGGTATTAACAGTAAAATACTGTAAAACATTTTAATGCAGCATACTGTAAATTATGATGCATGGTGGGAATTTCTTGGGGGCGGGGAAAGAATTTCCATACCGTACTTTATTTTTGGAGCGCCAAAAACCTTTGTGCATGGTATTGTTGTTTCTGGCTCATTAGCAGGCCTTGCCATATTCGTTGCACCGGTTAACTCCTATAGTGGTTATAGTGACCCATCAGTTTAACATTTATAGGGGACAGATTGGAGTGGCAGCAATTCTTTACCCTTTAAATGGTTGAGTATTTTGCCATGTCCTTTTGGTCTGTTTGGCCCTGTACTCACTGCCATTTTGGAAGCTTTTGTTAAGGTGATATAAAACAGCAAATATTTATTAATATGATATGTCTAAACACAATACCTAGCATCCAACCTGCTTGCACCAATCCCTTGTAATTACAGTATTATGATTTTTACAGTATATTACAGTATATTTTACGGTATTGTACTGTGTCATTACACAGTACTTTCTTTGCTACAGTATTTAGATTACAGTAGATGTACCGCTATATGAAATTCAGTAACTTACAGCGCCCTCCACTAATACCCTTGTTAAATATAAGCAAAACGGCTGTGGAAAAAACGTCTTTATTGTTCGTCCTCTTGGTCTTTCATTCAAAATATTCACACAAATCTAACCTTTAACTAAAGTAAAATAATTGAAAGAAAAAATAAATTCTCATC